ATAAAAATGTGAATAACATCAATAGCGAATTCCCAAAATAACAAGGCAATGTTGAAGGTTCATAGGTGACCATAATAACAGGGATCAGTTCGGTGTAGATATTGATACGAAACAGCTGCGTGATAAAAACGAATCATATGCTAAGTTCCCTGCAGGTTGTTGTTTTTGGTTGACTGGCCATGATTACGTGTATGTGCAAAAATCGATGCAAGAGTATGATTATCATTATCTGCTATTAACATAGGGCGAACAACTGTACTGAGAACAAGATTCACACCGATACTGTCACGAGTGAGAGAGGGAGCTTAGTTCAGATTAGTGTATTAGCTTTTAGCAATATTCCAGCAATATCACGGCGGGGGACACTAGAAATGGGCTTCAAACATTGTGCCCATGTGGGGAATCAAACCCGGGTCTTCGGCGTGACGAACAAACGCTTTTAAGTTTTAACCGCTAGGCTACCCAACCTCACGATAGGAGCAATATATTAATACGTTTAAACTCTCATAAACGCAAAGCTACTCTTTTCACGCCTCAGTCAGCAAAATGTCCAGCTATATGTTTGTTTGTAGATAATCGGGTCTGGTCCAGACTCTCCAGTGATTGACATCGGTGATAGAGCATCGATCTATGTGGAGACAGACAGGCAGTTAAGTTCATTCAGTTAAAAAGCTATATTGCGGCGATCGGCAAATAAATGAGTCTGGACCAGACAATCCAGTGATCAATAGCATGATCATCGTACTAGGCAATTAGGATACGATGACATTTGTCAACCAAGTCAGTGACCCTGACCATCCGATCCCGTTAGTCGCCTCTTACAAGCATGGGTTACTGAAGATCAATGCTAACGCGGATCTTCACGGGTCATGTACAGTTACATAAGTGTATGGATATGTTTAAACTCTTATTAACGAAATGATGCTCGTGGTTGTTGTGTGTTTGTTGTTTAACGTCGCACTCACCAATTTTTCAGCAATATGTGTGTTTGTAGATAATCGAATCTGGTCCAGGCAATCCGGTGATTGACGTCATGATGACAGCGGTCAAACAAGTCAGCGAGCCTGACCACCAATCCCCTTAGTCGCCTCTTACGACAAAGATGGATTGCTGAAGATGAAATCTAACCTTAATCTTCACGGGTCACTGATGATGATGATGATGATGATGATGATGATGATGATGATGACTGACTGTTTAATTATCCAACTCCTTAGTGTATGTCTAAAAATGATAAGGCCACTTATATAGCGCTGAAGTCCACGCTCTAAGCGCACACAACATGATGGGCATTATTACCCCAGGTAACAAAAGGTGGCTAGGGGTGCTAGAAGGTTAGTAGACATATGACTTATCCCACCCGGTACCCAGTTTCTGTGGGCGAACAGGGGCCATTTTGAACAAACTCACTTGCATAAGATGAGACCACATGTGTGCTTCGTTGTGGGGCAGGAAACACTTAGGAGTAAACCTTGTGATAGAATTTAGTCACACAATACACAACGTTAGATGTCCATTCATGGGCTGCATTATATTCTGTTCATGACGCTGTTTTGTTAGTACTCCAAGCATAATCATGTCCCCACCCACTGGGGCGGTGGGGTAGCCTAGTGGTTAAAGCGTTGGCTCGTCACGCCGAAGACCCGGGTTCGAATCCCCACATGGGTACAATGTGTGAAGCCAATTTCTGTTGTCCCCCCGTGATGTTGCTGGAATATTGCTAAAAAGCGGCGTAAAACCAAACTCAGTCAGTCAGTCCCCACTCAATGATGGTGGGAAATATATATATTTCTTCAGGACTTCATTTGCATGTTTGCTCAAAGTAACTTCTCCGATATTTATTGATAATCGATGGATATTTAGTCAACGATTGTCGATCTGTATGATCTATATTGATAGCCAGTCATGTAAAATAAAGGAAGAGACTAGATAATTTCTGAAGGACATAAACGCAAGGTTTTGCTGCCCGAGATTGGAATATAAGTTAAAATGATTGATTTCATGCCGATACTAGATTCCGAGATGTCGATCCTATTACACAATACACCAAGAAGTGAAAAGGTTAAAGGTCACAAAGATGCACGTGAGCGGAAGCTTGACCAGGAAGCGGATGTCCACTTGCATATATAGTACAGCACTGACCACCACTGACCAATACCTGGCTTATCTCAGTCACTCTACTCAGTCGTCATTTCAAGGTAAGTGAAAACATTTGTTTGTGCTATTTGGGATGCTTAATAAGTTTTGGATGGACATTATTGCTGATGCGTTTACTAGTTTGGACATACACCTTTTAGAAACTCGAAACATGATAATATTCGGTATGTATCGACTGTAAAAGAAACAAATCAGATATCGGAATCAGATATGAGTTTCTGGAATGTTCAGGTGAAATTAGCATGAATATATTCTGGAGGCATAACGATAGCTGAGACCAAAATGTTACAGTTCCTTCCACATTTCCGGGTTCGAATCGGTCTTCAGCATCCGTCAGTATATCTTCTTACATGTAACAAAGGTGCCGTGTTGAAATGAGCCATAGAGGTCATTTCCAACCCGCAATAGTGTCAAAAGATCTAGTCAGAACTTTTTAGAATTTGAACCTAGTTTTCAGAGACGAGACGAGACTCAATATTTAGCGGGGATGTATGCATAACGAGGCGACCCCGGCTTGAATGATCTAGATTTTAAGGAAGGATAACAATATATAGATGAACAACTTCTTTATTGCTGTGAGAGCGACGTTTCGGTTCTAACACCGTCATCAAGCAAGTGATGCAAGTCATGAAACGTCGCTCTCACAGCAATAAAGAAGTTGTTCATCCATATATTGTTATCCTTCCATACTGCTCCAACTTCTAAATGCCTCTCAAAGAAGATATAGATTTGAACAGGGGAGGGAGTGGGGGTAGCCTAGTGGTTAAAGCGTTCACTCGTCACGCCGAAGGCCCGGGTTCGATTCCCCATATGGGCACAATGTGTGAAGCCCATGTCTGGTGTCCCCCGCCGTGATATTGCTGGAATATTGCTAAAAGCGGCGTAAAACTTAACTCAATCACTACATCATGTCGGCTAGAACACGATGATCCTTAGCCAAAAATGCAAACCCCTGAACCAAGGGTTACCCCATCCCTGAAGATCCGGATTATAAGGGGTCTTCAGCAACCCACGCTTGTCGTAAGAGGCGACTAATTATAACGGGATCAGGTGCCAGGCTCACTGGCTTGGTTGATCTATGTCATTGTGTCCCAATTGCGTAGATCCATGCTCATGCTGTTGGTCACTGGATTGTCTGGTCCAGCATCAGTTATTTACAGACCGCCGTCATATAGCCTCAATATTGATGAGTGCGGTGTTAAACAACCAACCAAACAACCAAAGGGTTACTCCCCTTTCGTCCCTAGTCGTCAAGTGATGCTCAGAATATTTTATCGTCGCTTCGACCAGTTTCAATTGTTTTCTTCACCACTCAATGCAATTATCCACACTGTCTTTACTTCGTTTGTTACAGGGGCGGTGGGGTAGTCTAGTGGTTAAAGCGTTGGCTCGTCATGCCGAAGACCCGGGTTCGAATCCCCACATGGGTACAATGAGTGAAGCCCATTTCTGGTGTCCCCCGCCGTGATATTGCTGGAATATTGCTAAAAGCGGCGTAAAACCAAACTCAGTCAGTCAGTCAGTCGTTTGTAACTGGATATCAGTCAAATTGTATAGATCGATGGTCATGATGCTGATCACAGGATTGTCTGGTCAAGACTCGAATATTTATAGAGGGAATTATTATAGATGGAATATTGTTGAATTCATCGGTAAACGAAAAACAAAATTCAAAACCGTACAATATGTTCCTGGTATGTAGACAAGTGTGTGGCAGTTCTTTTGACACACATATTTCCATTAACCCTTAGCCAATCTACAGATATATTCGCATCTATGTAATGATGTATAGAGAAGCTCACCCGGGTGTCATTTGATATTAAATGTATCATCACTAGTGGATAAAGTTACAAATCAAACGAGGATATCTTTTTTTTTATCAACGAATGTTGATATATGTGATATCAGAAGACACGAGGGCGAGATTCTATGTATCATCAAAAATCACTTTTCATTTCTCCCAGGAGATATCGTTTTATCACACACAAGCAATATCTGACAGTTTTGGATGATAAAAACATTTATTATCCATAATATGGAACAGAAGTCATGTCATATTTTCAATACGTGCACATGTGCACATATCACTTTTGCCTAGCAACCATTGTTTCTGTATTTTGTCGTCTGTGACGTCATTAAACAATTGAACGTGACGTCAGTTAAGAGGGCCGTCACACTTGCATACCGTGTTTTACTGCACAAATGTACATAAATAAAATGGATAATAAAGAAATTATTACGCTCACAAGTGTGCCATGCGACTTACGCGACACTCGTGCAAAATTAGGTATTGACCTCGGTCTCCTAGGGCAATACAAAATTTCGCACTCGTTTCGTATAAGTCGTATGACACACTTGCTCGTGTAATAATCTCTATATTCCTTTCATTTCCATTTCGTCTTTCATTAGGTGTCACAGAGACAGATCTAGAATTGCATCCCTTGGTTGCAATAGGATCAGTTAATCGTGTTTACGAGATGCAATTTGACTCAAATCAGGATGCTTGGCCAGCAGGGTTTTCGGGTTTCAGACAGTTAACAAGTGTACGGATTGCACGGGTGTATGCAAACACCTGCTTTCATCTCTTTCAGCCCTATTTCGCCTATATTGGCAATTGAATCTATTTCGGCAGATTATCGAGACTGGTTAATCAGTGGCGTTTATGTTTTGCATTACATTTAGTTCACTTACTTTCACTTCAACAGTCCAAAGTCAGCTCATATTGTGTCGAGCAGTGTGTCAGTGTGTTCATCGTAGCGAAAGTTCATTTACCTGGACAGCAACGTCCTTTAACCCATAATTTTGTGATCACATGACTTGGCTTCAGTTCCAGCTACATCAACATGATGAAGATGCTCCTCGTCGCCATTTGCTGCATCGTCTCTGCTGCCGCATCGCCCACGTACGGACACTACGGCATGCACGGTCTTGGAGGAATGGGCTATGGAATGATGGGATACCCAGGCTATGGCTTCGGTCAAATGGGAATGGGTTACGGAGGACTGGGATTTGGAGGACTGGGCTTTGGAGGACTTGGTTTTGGAGGACTTGGTTTCGGTGGAATGGGTTATGGAGGAATGGGTTTCGGTGGAATGCCAGGAATGTTTGGTGGATACCCAGGAATGAGTGGAATCGGTAAGGCGTTGTATATATAAAGCCTGAATACATTTTAACGTTATGTATCTGTATTCCTATCGCTCTTTATAGCCATGCACACGGAGTGATCTTAATAATGGTGACACTTGCATAGAGATTACGATGCAAGCATGTATGCAAAACTGATTTTAGGAAAGGAGTGTCAAGATGTTTGTATTTCCAAAGCGAGAGCGAGTGTAATAGATGAATTCTTACACGAATTTTGTGTTTCACTATGGCACACATGATTGTGTTATAATGTTTTTATTCACCATTATTTATTTAGAATTGTTTTGAGCTCCCTTTTTGAAACATGCACATATCAGGACCATTCTAGAAAATAAATTGCGATTGTGGATTGACGTCATTGTGTAGCTAGTGTGACGTCATTCCGACATTACGTCACAATAATATTCAACAATGCCGTTCCGATGCAGACAATCAAAATAGATTATGTGGGAATCTAGATGTGTTGTCCTTTTTAAGTCAAGCATCATGTTAATTCTGTATCTCTCTCCAGGATTTTGATGACCATCAGGTACACTACAATGACGGACTCACAACTTGTGGAATTAGATATCAACAGAGAAGAACGATTACGTCTAGATAATGTGAACATATAATGAAAATAAACCTTCAGATCTCATATCAGTGTTTTTTCAGTCCAAATTCCTTCATTTTACACTGACTCTCGCTGAACCTAGGTTACCACATTTTCTACGTCATTTTAACAATATTCCAGGTTGACACCAGAAATGGGCTTCACATATTGAAGCCATGTGGGGAATCCAAACCGGGTCTTCAGCGGAAGCTTTAACCATTAGGCTCACACACATACACACACCAACAAAATAAAAAACACACACACAAGAAACACACCCCACAACAAGCAAAGAAAAACAAAACAAACAAACAAACAATACAAAACAGCAATGACAAAAGAAAAAAACATTTCATTTCATAGGATATTTATATAGCGCACATATCCACGCAACTAGTGCATGCTCAAGGCGCTGGTATTTTTTTCCCTCGACCATTGGATGTCAATCTCAAGGGCACATCGTATTATCAATCTCAGCTCTCTGGCTCTCTTGCTGCCACTAGGCGCACCGAGGTGGCTTTCTCATCCTAACGACATCATTTTTAGCAGACGTGTTGACAACTGAAATGACTGCGATAAAACATTTCGAGTGCTTTACCGAGGCCTTGAACGTTTGAATGCAAGAGTGGTATGGCGTTCATTGCAATCTTCATATATAAGATTTGCTTTACCTCACAAGACGTGAACTGCTAACACCAAAGCTGGATTTACTGGAAATGGGGCAGTAGGGTAGCCTAGTGGTTAAAGTGTTTTCTCATCACGCCGAAGACCCGGGTTCCATTCCCCATATGGGTACAATGTGTGATGCACATTTGACATGTCCCCCTGCCATGATATTGCTTGAATATTGCTAAAAAGGGCCTAAAACTAAACCCACTCACACTTACTACAGAAAATATTGCTTGACATAAGGGGACAGTTGACTGTCAGAGTTGAAGTGTAAGTAAGGCATGATGATACATCTGAACATGGTATGCTATACAGAAAATAACCATCTCGATTTTCTAACTAAATAGATTCCACGGTGAATGTAACAGCGCCAGTTATACGAATGAATCTCTAAAAATATTTGAAACCAGATGTTTACGAAATATCGTGATTCCCTCCCCAAAGCTTCCGTTACACGCACAATTTACATAAAACGGTATATGTCTGTTGTCTGACACGTTATTACAAACCTTTGAAACACTTAACCAACAATTCAGCAATTGTCTCAAATTAAAACAAAATACAACAAAAAATACCTCAAAATACAAGGAAGGGCCCCACTGCCGCAGTCGGTTTGAAAGTATATGACGGTAATGTAAAAAATGTAACAACAAAACAATGATCCTGCATATTCCAGGCAGGTCCAGCGTGCATATTATTCCATTACTGCATGTTCAGGATTAGTTGGCAAACCGTTTGGAGACAGATGGGCTGGACAAGCTCTGTTTATACAGAGGCGGAATGTGTTATGTCACGTTGTAGCTGAGGTCACGTCTAGTCTAGTCTGACATGCACGTACAATACAGAAAAAGTTGAAATCTAATTGAATCTTGGGCTTACAGGGAATACATGCATAGGATTTAACAGCACAAGCTGGCAAACATGCAACAACCTTGACATAGCGGTTCTGTGCAACCCCAATTGCGTCGTGCTTTTGTATCATACAATGCCTCTAACAGAACTTTTCTTGCCAATGCTTTTGCAGCAGGGTTACATACTCCCATTGGCGTGAAGGAAACGTTTGATCGCAGGTTCGAATGTTATTGATTCATCGTTAGCACCACATCCTGCTTATTAGTTTCATCAAAGTGATAAAGCTCCTAATCCTGCATCAGTGGATGCCTCGGCTCTATATCAAGTTGAGAAGCCCTGAGATGCTGGTGGCACTTAAACCCAACTTTATTTGCATGTTTTGTTCTTGTTTCTTACGCTGCTCTCAGCAATATTCCAGCTGTATGGCGGCAGTCTGTAAATAATCGAGTCCAGACAATCCAGGGACCAACATCAACATCATCGATCAACGCAATAGGGATACGAAGACATGCGAATCAAGTCAGCGAGCCTGACTACCCGGTCCCGTTAGTCTCCTCTTACGACAAGGATGGGTTGCTGAAGACAGTCGCCCAGAAGCTTAGTCTTCTGTGTACTCTGTCGGAGTGTGGTATCCATGTTACTCTATAGCATGGTATATCAGTGAGCTGGCTCTGTGGAACAGGCGTTCAGCAACATATATGCATGCACTTAACTGTTTCTTACACCAAGAGAACCACCTGTTCGATAATGGCCTCAACTATATGTGTGTGTCGAATCCCTGGTTCGTGATTCGTTACTCCATGGCGATGACCTCAGGTCAGTTAATGACGGAGTCCTTTCCTGATGGTAGTGTTAGTCGTGCCGAACTCACGTCAATATCGGAACGCTGTATGGTTTTCGAATGTAAAATGAATGTTTTCAGGCTTCATTAGGATTTCATTGTCGTCCCCACCTAGATAGTACTCATGTATGACGGAAAGGTTCACAAGAAAAATAATGGTGATTTCCAAAAATTTCCAATTTTGAAATATCATATTTCCAAAAATTTCCAAAATTGGAAAGATGATGTTTCCAAGGCTTGGAAATTTTTGGAAATTTAGGAAGGATTTTACCACTACTTCTTTCAATTTCTCCTTTTTCCCAAGGATCCCCGGCCCATGAGTGTATAGACTGAACTATTTTACGAATCTTTTGATCTGTTAGAGTTCTTATTGTTGATATACATAATGTATCTTGCATGTGACATATTTATTCATGAAAACTGCAGGAATAAGCCATATGTGGAGTTTGTGTGGAGGGACACTAGGTTAGGGTAGTAAACAGTGGTCTGGCTGATTACATGTTCTGTATTACTACGCCAATTAGATCATAGGATAAGATTCTAAAACGACCCGATGTTTTTGGGTATAGGAAACTGATTACTGTGATCTCTATACATTAGCTATAATTTTTAACCCGACGGTAACAGGTTTCACTTCACCAACTTCTTCCAGTGGTAAGTTGAAATAAGAAAACTGACGGAATGAAAATAACATGTTTTATCAGTCTGAATGTATGTATAGTCAAGTTGGAAACTCTGGACAGAAGAATAAATGCACCGATAGACCTGGAATCCCTGCTGCGTCATGACATGACATGACATGACATGACACGACTTGGCATCCTATCGGTCAGGCCTGTCAAGGTAGTTATTATGCAAAGTTCGTGCCGAAAACTTCTGCCCTACAGTTTCACATGAACGAGCTGCAGTACTTCTTCAAGTCCACCTGCAAGAAATTGTATTAAATGTTTTAACACCTTCACACTCCATTATATTCAAGAACATGAAACATATATAATTTGGTGTAATTTCATGGATTATCTTAATATATATTACTTCATTGACTTCATGATTATTGCTTTCACTTCATATCGTATTAAACTATGTTTGTACCCCGTGGTGTTTGAAATCATCCTTCAACCCATGGGGATTGTGGGTAAGAATATAAGTCCTCAGCAACAATATTGACTACCTCGATTAGGACCCCGTTCAAAAAGCAATCTTAGCTTTAAGGTGATCGTAACTCACATGATTTACTACTGGCCAAAGGTAGTCGTAGCGCTTAGATCGCATTGTGGAAAGTGGCCCAGGGATTCAGACTTGTTTGATTACGGGTCATCGTATACCAACTGCGTGGATCGAAGCTCATGATATTAACCACTGTATTGTCTGACTTAGACTCAATTGATTACAGATCCCGGGAATCACATACCTGGTATATTGATGTGCGCAACGTTAAACAACGACACAACAAAAACAAAAAGGCTTACATTGTCCATGAAACCAGTGAAGTCCGTCTTGCCTGTTCCCGAAGCTATCGCCATAGGAGAACCGTTCCCAAATGCCCGGACACCTGAAGTATAGTATAACGTCATGATCAAATATCCAGAACCTTCCATAACGTTCAGTATAAGGTTTTCATTGTACGGCACACAAACAAAAAGTGTATTGGATACTGTCATAGTGCCAAATGCAACTTGAATTCGGTGAAGATCCGAGTTAGAATAATTGGTCTTCAGCAACCCATGCTTGTCACAAGAGGCGATTAACTGGATCAAGTGATCAGGCTCGCTGACTTGGTTAACGCAAGTCATTGTATCCCGATTGCGAAGATCGATGTTCTTGATGTTGATCGCTGGATTGTCTGGTCCAGACTCGATTATTTACTGACCGCCGCCATATAGCTGGAATATTGCTGAATGCGGCGTAAACCTAAACTAAAATCACTCACTCACCCATCCCTATTTTTCCGCTATGATATTGACGGAATATTGCCAAAACGGCATAAAACCCATCTCACTCTGTCAATCGCATTTACGTTTCTATTAAACAGGAAAAGTAAACTATCTTTGGGTACACCGTGTCTTTAAACATAGTCGAATTCACACATCGCAATTTACGTTAAACAGTAGTTAATAATCTGCTGAGAGCGGCGTTAAACAAAACAAAACAAAACTCCCAAACAGCGTAAGTTCGGACACCTGTTTCAATGTGTTCGAGCGAAGCTATTTTCGCACAGCTGTGTCTTTTGAGCGACCAGTATGACAATTCGGAATAAAACAATCACTTTGAACCGGTATGAATGTACTAGACACATATAAAGACGAAACAGCGACCCTGAAAAACATAATGCCTGTTTAATGCAGTGGTTTAACTGGGGATGACAAGACTTTATGGATGATCAACTGTTTTAGTTTGACAATAGCGACGTTTCGGTATAGAATCTGATACCGTTTTCAAGCATATGAAAGACGTCATGTCATGATGCAGCTGATTGTCAAAATAAAGAAATTGATCATCCATAAAGTCTTGTCATCCCTATACCACCAACTTCTAGTATGCCACTCGTACAAATCGTGCTGTAACTGTACTTCCTACCTGGTAAGAATGAAATGTCAGTTGTCTTTTCTTCGGAGCCTTCAGCTGTGACAGTCAGCTTGCCTTTAGTGTTGTCCTTCGCGAACAGAACGGTCACTCTGCCTCGGAGATCCTGAAGTCGGTAAGAACTGGTTGATGATGTGACGTATCAGTGACTTGAAGACGTAGGAATGATAAACAGAAAGCTTCGTCGTAAACAGTACGATACAAAATAGAAACGCACTTGAGCGCAAGAATAAGGACGTACAATATTATTGAGCAGAAGGAAAAACACAAACAAACAAAACGAAAACAAACAAAAAGACATCAATACGGAAACAGGTTATGGCTGTTTGATACAGTCCAGAAGGTGAGGAGGATATCTTATGGTGAGCACTTATTTTAAACTCAAGGTGAAAGGCGATTGAATTGGGCTTTCAGCAGTGAAGAATTGGGTTAGAATCGATGGTCAGAGACAAATGCATGTTCCAATTTGCGACGATGGGACCAGGCAGTCAAACTCACTGACTGGGTTGTCATGTCATCGAATTCGAGTTGAACAGATCGTTTTCATGTCATCAATCACCGAATGATGTTTAACTGACTCGAATATTCATAAACCACCCTCTATAGCTCGAATATAACTGAGTGCGGATATACATGACAACAAAAACCTGTTCTTAATTCAAGCACTTAGGGATAGATATGACAGAATGGTACAACTGACAGATGCCATTCGACATCACTATTCCGAGAGTCCTAAAGATGGGCCAATCAAGACTGTTGACCTGAGCACACCTTAAAGTAGAGGATTTACTCGTTTGATTAAAATATGAGTTGGAAAAAACTCTGATGGGTAAAGTTGAGTGCGGAATCTAGGCCGATCAATCTTTCATTGGAGGAAGCCTAGACGACGTTCAGAGTCGACATTCTGATTATTTGAATTCTGGAGAATTCATTTTAAAATATGGTCTTGATTATGGTCTTGATTAAAATATGCTCATAATGCTGAGCAAAATGTTATATATTGAAGAAAGTCTTAATGTTTGGAATCACTCACCACTTCTGGACTTGATTCTGTTTTATCGTTGTTTTCGTCCAAATCAGAAGCTTTACTCGGTGAAACATAGCATTCCACCTGGCCGAAATTTGTTCGTGTAACTATAAGTCTGCAGCCATAGGTGGCCTCCTGGTTATTGGCGCTGTTATCGATCAGGGCAATCAATAGTGGTCCGTTTGTTCCCCTAGGGACAAGAACACCGGGTGTCGAGTTGTCTGATTGTACTGCTTGGAAGGTGAAGGCCAGGTCAAAATAGAGACCAAGGTCATTTCCGTTTAAACCTGGTGCGACAAAACTCTGCCCTCCTGAGAAGAAAGCAGACTGGTTGGGTCTGACGATGGCGTTGCCGTCGATGGTGCTGCTGCCCATCACAGGGGTGTCGTTCCTCGCAAGGTCCCAGGAATTGTCAATTGAAGCCAGATGAAGGGCCGTTGTTGTCTCACAGCCTGTAAAAGTCAAATATACCTTTTCCAAAAAACTAGAAGAATAAGGTTGTGTTTGTTTGTTGTTTAACGTTGTCGTTGTTTTTGTTTGTCTATATGGCGGCGGTCTGTAAATAACCGATATTCGACTAGACAATCCAGTGATCAACAGCATGAGCATTGATCTACGCAGTTGGGATACGATGACATGTGTCAACCAAGTCAACGAGCCTGACCACCCGATCCCATTTGTCGCCTATTACGACAAGCATGGGTAGCTGAAGACCAATTCGACCCAACAACCTAACAGGCATTAGGGCATTGTCTTGTCCTTCAAAAAACAGACAAATAATAGTTCATACATACAGATTATTAAATCAACGGGCTGGCGACATACGTAGAGAAATGTCTGTAACATGTTTTCGTAGAATTCGTCACACAGCCAAATATAACCATAATTTAAGAGGCCATACTAGAGGCTGTTGAGAAACGCCTTTATTATTGAGAACCTCGCCCTGAAGTTAGTACTTTCGACCGACGAATTCCACGATGAAGGTCAGGTCCTACGTTATTTTTTTCTATTGTGTCGAAATCAACTGAGGTAATTACTTCGACTCATCTCAGGCTCGACACTACCGAAAGATTAAGAGTAAATAGGGAATACTGTACAACAAGGACCTTTTACTTCGAGATAATCGATGAGACGCCAAAGGTAGATAAAATTATGCTTGACTGTTTTATTAAATACATTTTAAACTCGGTAGTGTGATATTTAAGGATTACGCGCTCACCTTTAGCTGTCTCGTTGCTATGATCACAGCCACATTTGCCATCGACCTGATAAGACGTAGCGGCTGGACATGTTGTATCGACTTTCTCTATGGTCGGAAGACCATTGCCATAGGTGACCGTTTCGTTAATCTGGAAGAAGCTTCTGCCTTGGGTAGATGGACCACACGTCCGGTTCACTAACAGAAGAATACAGACACACATTACAACGCTGTCTAATGTTGAATGAACACACTGTCTTTGAACGTTATAGTACATACTTACTGTGGTCTTCAGCTTTGCACTTTATGAAAAGGAGCGGTTGGGTAGCCTGGAGGTTAAACCGAAGACCCGAGTTCGATTCCCTACATGGGTACAATGTGTGAAGTTCATTTCTGGTATCGGGTGATATTGCTGGAATATTTCTAAAAGCGGCTTAAAACTAAACCCACTCACTCACCTTCATAAATTAACACGTCACAATTTAATTCTGGACACACATAAGTCCAGAAACTCTACGTACTGTGGGCACTTTCTGACAAGGGATTTGACCAAATTAAACATGCAGTTGTTATGAATATATGCCAAGGATGAAAAAAGGAAAAAAATTGTTTTCGAAAACTTTAAATTTAAACTCGCTCGCCCATAGACCGGTCCATGGGCGAGAATTTTTACTTTTGCTAAGAATTCATGTTTTGGAGGTTGTAAATGAATGAGTGTATGTTTGTAAGCATTATGACACAAATTTCAACTCATTTTGACTTGATTCGACTAACTTAGGGCGATATTAAAAAATCTCGCCCATGGGCGAAAATGTTTAATTTCGCTCAGAATTCATGTTTTGGAGGTTGTAAATGAATGAGTGACTATATATAATCATATCAAATTGTTCAACAGATATATACATATGACCATTAATAAAGAACTACCTGAATCCGAGGGAAAGTTTGTAATGTTGGGATAAAGCAGGCAGCCATACGATATATAGCTAGCATATTGAAATGTACATTTGCAGAACGGTCTCAAAAGGTACGAGTAGCTTGTTTGCGTGCTGCGAGGGCGCCAAGCAAATAAAGTTATAAATTTCATAATTTCAGTATGTTCGCAACTGTATCCTGAATTGATTTAAAAGATGCGTTAATCGTTTGGTAAAACGTAGTCCTTTGACCCATATCGGCAAGGAAGAGTGGGAGTCCAACTCCTCACCAGTACCATCAGAAGGAGGCTAGCAATGGCCAATGGGAGTCCGACTGTCCACCAGTACCATCAGAAGAAGGCTAGCAATGGCCAGTAGGAGTCCAACTCTCCACCAGTACCATCAGAAGAAGGCTAGCAATTGCCAGTGGGAGTCCAACTCTCCACCAGTACCATCAAAAGAAGGCTAGCAATGGCCAGTAGGAGTCCAACTCTCCACCAGTACCATCAGAAGAAGGCTAGCAATTGCCAGTGGGAGTCCAACTCTCCACCAGTACCATCAGAAGAAGGCTAGCAATGGCCAGTGGGAGTCCAGCTCTCCACCAGTACCATCAGAAGGAGGCTAGCAATGGCCAGTGGGATTCCGACTCTCCACGAGTTCCATCAGAAGGATGCTAGCAATGGCCAGTAGGAGTCCGACTATTCACCTGTACCATCGGAAGGAGGCTAGCAAAGGACAGTGGGAGTCGGAATCTCTACCAGTTTCATCAGAAGGAGGCTAGCAATGGCCAGTGGGAGTCCGACTCTCCACCTGTACCATCAGAAGGAAGCTAGCAATGGACAGTGGGAGTCGGAATCTCTACCAGTTTCATCAGAAGGAGGCTAGCAATAGCCAGTGGGAGTCCGACTCTCCACCTGTACCATTAGAAGGAGGCTAGCAATGGCCAGTGGGAGTCCGACTCTCCACCAGTACCATCAGAAGGAGGCTAGCAATGGCCAGTGGGAGTCCTACTATCCACCAGTACCTTCAGAAGGAGGCTAGCAATGGCCAGTTGGAGTCCGACTCTCCACCAGTACCATCAGAAGGAGGCTAGGAATGGCCAGTAGGAGTCAGACTCTCCACCAGTACCATCAGAAGGAGGCTAGCAATTGCCAGTGGGAGTCCGACTCTCCACCAGTACCATGAGAAGGAGGTTGTGGCTTGCTGGTATTAGGTAGCGTCGTTCGATCAGACGTCCCTTCCACACAGGTACTGGCAGGACTTTTGGTGTAGTTGCTGTGTTCTAGACGTTACCGACGTCCGGTGTCGCGGTTAGACATCGAGGCATGTCGCTCTGAAATTCTCCATGCTGCTGAACCATTTGGTGGCTCAGTGAAGATGCGTTCGTTAGTATGCACTTTGGATATCATTACGGTAAATATAATGGATTTCTATGGCGCCTGGTATACAACTCGAAGCTGTTCAATGGCGCATCACAAAATCAAGGAGGAATTACCCCGGATAACCCAAGTTGCCTGTGAGGCGCTTGAAGGTTATAGTCAAATGACTTATCCCACCTGGTACCAATTTTCTGCTGGGTGAACACAGGCAGTTTTTAACAAACTCGCTTGCCTAAGGTGAGACCACATGTATCACATGCGGTCGTTGTGGGGCAGGACTGAAGTCTTAGAAACTCTCCCCAGCGGGCACACAACGTTGAGTCAACGTTGACTTTTGGTTGTTTGGTTGATCAACCTTTCATAAACGTTGATTCAACGTTTATCATGCGACCAAAGAAAGTTAGTCGAGATTCGTTTAGTTGTCAACAAAATGTCAACTAATTGTTTCCTTGGCAAATTTGATACATAATTCAAATTGATAATAGGTATCCTACTTAGCAACTATCATTTCGGAACATTAATTTCATAAAAGATCAAGATCGAGCTAGTGACAGATATAATCTTATATAATGTTTGATTGTGCATCGATGAACGGACGGAAATATTACGTAAATCGCAATTGAAAATGAAAAAATCAATGATTTTAGGTATAAAGTCGTCAGTTATCCGAATTGCATTACATTTGATATTTTCCCACAAAACTGTCAAAATTGTATAATTCCCGACAATTTGCTTTCAAACACATGCCAGATGTTGACCTTTCTATCGCCTCGTTTGGTCATATCCGGACATGCGCACAATTATCGCGCGCACAAAGGCAGTTGATCGTTGTCAGTTCACTTTGGCGAAGTTCAACGCAATATCGTTCCATTTCAACATCTTCACGGCATGCTGGTGTTTATTTGGTAAGTATGTCCTTCATGTATAATGAAAACGTAGGAATGTTGTTTAAATCTAGCAGGTCAATGTAGCAAGAAACTCCGAATTTGGGTTCATGTTTATCTCACAAGGTTACCGGTATGTCACGTACATGTTTCTCAATTTCGTGGAAGCCCGTGTTTTCCATGAACTTGTTTTGTTATTTTCAATATATTTGCATGCATATATTTGGCATTTTATTATATAATCGAATTAGATTTCCTTTCGTACCCATCACCTGATTTGAATTTTGCAAATATACATTTTCAAATAATCCATGAAGTATATTATTTTAAGGGACCGTTCATAATTTATGGCTGGGGTTGGGGGTGGTGGTGATGATTTTAAGGGGGGGTTCACCCATTTTGTTCAGGGGAGCTAAGGGGGTCAGCAATTTTGTACACACGCACTATGTTTAATATGATGCTTAGAAAATATGGGAAGGGTGTGTGTGTGTGTGTGTGTGTGTGTGTGTGTTAATTCACATTATGAACGGTCCTTAAGGGCTGCTATACAAAATCGAATAGAATTTATCAACATTTTTTATTGCTTCACATTATTATGAACATTTGTTCGTATGAATAGATCTATCAGTAAATTGTGCATTGAGCACGCTCTGAACCCTGTCAACATATGTATATTATTTGGGGGGAGGGGGGATGGAGAATGGCGAAAGGAAATCTTTCTCAGATCATGCAACGAAAATTCACATCAAAATGTTTTGTGCAAGTCTTTGTTAAGGATGAAATTGTATATAATTTATTTGAACTTTTATTTATTTACAAAATGTGTAACTTCACATTGATTCTTAACAAAACTGCACCCATAGACTTTCATTCTTATACTTGTTTGGAAGGGATGTGATGATTTATGTCTCTTAATGGTTAAAATGTTACATACAAAAGAAGTAATTTAGTAGGGAACATTTAATTATGAAATAAGATTTAATTTTATTGAAATTTGCAGAAATCTCATCTTCGAAGATTGGGTGGCATCAATTTTGTGGATCACATAAAAGGAGCAATGCTAAGGTAACAAGTTTTTAACATTTCACCTGTTTCCAGTATATCCATCAACAAAGTTTAAGAGAAAGATGATAATGCTCTTTCATTACCACCTGTTTTGAATATTTGTGATAATGTTTGGTCTTTTTTGGTGATAATGTTTGGTCTTTATCTTCATTTATATATTAAGGTTGATCATGTAAGAGGATAATTTGACAATGATTTCTCCCGGAGATGTTTAGTTTAATGAGCACTCCCTTGCTTGGCGCCATATTGTTTATCGCCGTAAAGAGCTGGATGCGAGATAGCACGCGAGAGGACAGAAGTCATAAATTTATAGAGATATATAGATGTTTATTGCTGGGAGACACACTCTTCAGGTATTTGGTCAGCTGTAGAATTTGAATATGATGTTTTTTATTATTGTCAAAGTGTAGGTTTTTCATTATTTTGCATTTAAATGTGTGTGCAGTGAAACATGCTGAGATTTGGAAGAGTCCATTATTTAGAGTACAGGTATTGTTAGATATCAGCATTTTATGTACATGTTCCCTTGTCAAGATCATCTATCGAGTATATTAGAGAGAAGGTGTATATTTGTAGTGTTTTTAAATCAGAGTTATTTTCAGTGTATGACCTACATTTCAATATGTTTTGGCCACCTGTCACCCCTTTGGTCAAATAGAGTAGGACTTCCATTTCTTGGAATTGAGAGTCAGAGATACACTGTTTCCAAGAATTTGCGTGTGACAGCGATGTTTGTTTACGAGTACATTTCAGTCTTTTTGAGTGTAGATTGGAGTTGTAAGAGATGTTATTCATTGTCTTATTATATTCAGGGTATGATAGATTATTTCTGGCAGTGTAGAGTTTAATCTCATTATTTTATTGTTCATGATTCAGAGAGGCATAGTTATGACGTCACAGATATACGAACACTTCATTATATGAGATTTTCTAAGCGTTCCTATAAGAGATTAAGTGTAAACATTTCTGAATTATGAAGAAGTTATTTATCTGAGTTTAATGAGTGTACAAATGACAAAGAGAGAGAGTAGATAATAGAGCATAGAGTATATATTGTATACTTATGAGGGCTCATTATTGTTTTTAGAACTCCATGATCCATACTTCCTTGTGTTTGGGAATAAATGGTGTTGGAAGACCTCCCACAATAGACTTGTTCTTTGACCTGTGAACCACCACCCATTTTGTTTTCTTATCATTTAATGTAAAATGGCTTTTGTTACTATTTATAACTCCTGTTAGCAAAATTGCTACATCAGTACAACTCCTATTTAATTTGAAATAATCGTTTCTGAGAATCTGTAAAGAAAACTAAATCTGACAGAATAACAACAATCTTCCATTGTTTTGCAGGACAATGTCAAACAATTTGATGTCAAGAATGAATGTTGATGGGCAAAACGGCAAGTTTTCTTTTAAGAATACAAGGTTGTATTCAATCATCTCTGGTAAGTTAATTACCAAATGCAGCATTTTCATCATGACCATAGCAAATAATATATGACAGTAAAGCATCGTCTAATTCATCCTAATTCATAGTCTGTTTGAATAATCAACTTGCAATTGAGGATTTTCTTTGAAAATGTTTAAGAAAACTTCCATTCCTTTAGTTGAAAATATAAATTGTTTACACTTTTTGTCATATTTTGTATGGATGCTGTTCATATACATGTTACATATGTTCACATGCCAAGTTACAGCAGTGAAATGAACCTTTCAAGTGATTGATTAAACAAATACTTGAATCATTTAAGACAATATATCTTCCATATAAAATTATTCATGTATTTAAATATAAAATTTCAGAATGTGTCCTATCTCATGGGAAATTTCAAGAAAGAGTTAGGAACGTTTCTGAAGTATCCACCTGACCGCCAGGCTGGGAGTGGCAGAAAGAAGAGGAGCTGATAATTGTGTTTTTGGAGTTGTAATTGTGTTGAAAAATCTGAACTGTGGTATTGAAATTGGTGGCGTAAATGTCAGTTTAATGCTATATGCAGATGATATTGTGTTATTAGCACAACAGAGATCACCTACAGACTATGTCATGTGTGATGTTTTACATTATGCTTTAAACCACGTTTCTGTGTGTGTGTGTATGTATGTGTGTGTGTGGAGATTTCATGAAAAGTGACTTGTTTTATGTGCTGTCTTCAGGTATAGTTCCTGGTCATCTTGGATCCCTTTCATGGTGAAAGTAATTGCATTGTGTTTATTCAGGGGTCTGTCTAATAGCTGAAATTCAGACAAAATGTCTTCTCGGCACAATTTCCACCTTTTCAAGATAACAATACAACAGTAAATAGTTTTTCTTAATTTGGAATACTCTTTTCTTCTTACTGGAATTATACGTCCAACTGACATAAAACTTAAATGAACATAATATTGAATGTGGAATTTTAACCAAGTATTTTATCAGGTAAATATGTGATTTACTGCATTTTTCTGTTTGAACACTGTTTATTGCAGGTAGCTTTTTGGGTATTTTAACTGGATGCAGGAGTTTGGTGCTACTTTAGTGTAGTTTAAAGTTGAAGTGCGAGTCTATTTACAGGAAAGCATAATACCTCCCATACACAACCACGGAACAACCCATTTTCAACGTTAATAATATGTCAAACTTCAACGTTGATTCCACGTTGGATATCTACGTCTAAAATACTTTCATATACAACCTATTTTCAACGTTGATAATAGGTCAAACTTCAACGTTGATTCCACGTCGGATATTTACGTCTACAAAACTTTCATATACAACCGATTTTCAATCTAATTTTAACGTTGAGGACCAACCTATTCTCAACGTTGAAACAACGTTGATGTGCCTGCTGGGGACTAGGTCGCCAGTAGTTTTACAATCAAAACATAGAACTGTACAACAATCGCATTAGTGGCGTTGTCATGGAGACCATACTTACTGACATCCACGTCTACCTTTATCCATTGAATTGTTTTCTCATTTAAAAACTCTTTTAATCAGAGTAAAATATGTTACATTTTAATACTCAAAATTTGGTTTTCAAAGCACATACTGCAAAATATAGTGTTTTTTTATATAAATGAAATGGTTTAAGAAATGCCCATGTGTATACAGATCGCAATGTGTGCCAAAATGTTTTTACGCGGCAAAACGAAAAATGACAAAAATGTTTTATTATTAACTTTCTGTAATAAAAAGCGTGCAACGTCACTACAGTCAACAAGCGTGTCGAAAGTGAAAGACCTGTCGCAAATATTTCGAGTTGTCCCAGATTTGCCACAACCGCAAAATAATGTCGACCAAATAAGGAATACATGGGAAACAAGCTTATAATTGTCCGATACAACAGTATTTGACTGTATCTATACTTACACAATCTCCTCTGGTTCTTGTCGCAGACGAGGTCGCAGTCCCCCGTCCAGGCAGTGAAGCCAGCCCCTCCCTACACGGTTTAGAAACCATGGTGTTGTTCACGCATTCCATGTACCCCCCACACTGGGTGGCGTCGATGGGTACACGACGGCGAGTTTCACATGGATCTGTTAAATATAGTTGTAACAGCAAACTAAATACTTCACAAGAATTCTCGGAGCATTACAATCCTTTGGACATACAATATAGAAAGTTGTAAATAATGATTAAGTGATTTATAATTCTGATTACCAAGACGTGTACTGGAAACGGTATCGACCCTATTAAAGGGTTTCTCTGTACTGCAAAGTACGCGTTTAGCGAGTTGTCGGCATTTTCTACACAGGAGGTGAGGTGTAATTGGGTTTAACGTCGTGTTTGAGAAATTTTCGCTCATATGACGACGTGCATGCGTGTGTATGTGTGTCTGCTTGTACTAGCCCAGACTTCAGCTGGTTTTGTAGTGCTAGCCCACTGAGATACCATGCCACAGTGAATCATGAATACCCCACTCAGACACATTATACTGACTCCGAACCGACCAGTCCTTGTTGTACCCATTAATGCCGAGCACCAGGCAGGGACCAACAAGTACCATATTTAAACGTCTTTTGGTATGACGCGGTCGGGGATCGAACCCGCGACCTTCCGCTCTCCGGGCAGACGCTCTATCCCCTACACCACGGAGGCGGTGTTCTACACAGGAGGTTATGGAGCGTCTACAAATTTGTAATTTCATTACAACCACGAAATGACGACTAAGGAAAGAGCCAAGCTAAGTTTTTACTTCGAGACAACGTAAGTTTGATACAGCGGTGTTTGACAGTAGTTAGTTGAGGGGCAGTTTGTTTATATTGTGAAATGCGTATCTTTGCACTGCCAAAACAATTACAGTTACTGAGAGTTGAAACGGTTGAAACTTCATGAGTTTGTGTTTCCAATGTAAATAGGGGAAGCCTGGTAGTCAAAGCGTTGGCTCGTCACGCCAAAGACCCGATCTCGATTCCCCACATGGGTACAATGTGTGAAGCCTACTTTTGGTGTGCCCAGTCGTGATATTGCTAGAATATTGCTAAAAGCGACTCCCTCACTCTCTAGGAAGAGAAGAGGTTGTTTGATATATGTCCTAACAGAGATTCACCACTGTTGCTTGTTACATGCAGGGTTACACAGAATCATACTACACATCGGGAACATAGCCTTTCTATAAATATATGAAGAGGATGTGCTTATGAATCAATATCACGCTGATCAAATCATCCTACAAACTGCCAACTAGACAATTGCTACACCTTCATTTGACCAATAAGACAATAGTTATACCATCCCATTGTCAACTGGACAATTGCTACACCTTCATTTGACCAATAACACAATAGTTATACCATCCCATTGTCAACTGGACAATTGCTACACCTTCATTTGATCAATAAGACAATAGTTATACATCCCATTGCCAACTAGAAATTTACTACCACCTTCATTTGAAATTGCTACACCTTCATTTGACCAATAACACAATAGTTATACCATCCCATTGCCAACTAGACAATTGCTACACCTTCATTTGATCAATAAGACAATAGTTATACCATCCCATTGTCAACTAGACAATTGCTACACCTTCATTTGACCAATAAGACAATAGTTATACATCCCATTGTCAACTAGACAATTGCTACACCTTCATTTGATCAATAAGACAATAGTTATACATCCCATTGTCAATAACACATTAGTTATACAATCCCATTGTCAACTAGACAATTGCTACACCTTCATTTGATCAATAAGACAATAGTTATACATGCCATTGTCAACTAGACAATTGCTACACCTTCATTTGATCAATAAGACAATAATTATACCATCCCATTGCCAACAAGACAATAGTTATACCATCCCATTGCCAACAAGACAATTGCTAAAGCTTCAAATTACAACTGGACAATTGCTACACCTTTAAATGATGAACTAGACAATTGCTACACCTTCAAATTGTCAACTAGACAATAACTATATCTTCAAATTACCAACTAGATAATTTCTAAACCTTCAGTTGATCAATTAGACAATAGTTATAACTTCAAATTACCAACTAAACAATAGTTATACCTTTAAATTACCAACTAGACAATTGCTACACCTTCAAATTACCAACTAGACAATTGCTATAACTTCAAATTACCAATTAAACAATAGTTATACCTTCAAATTACCAATTAGACAATTGCTACACCTTTAAATGATCAACTAGACAATTGCTACACCTTCAAATTGCCAACTAGACAATTGCTACACCTTCAAATTACCAACTAGACAATTGCTACACCTTTAAATGATGAACTAGACAATTGCTACACCTTCAAATTATCAACTAGACAATAGTTATATCTTTAAATTACCAACTAGATAATTTCTAAACCTTCAGTTGATGAATTAGACAATAGTTATGCCATCACATTGCCAACTAGACAATTGTTATAACTTCAAATTACCAACTAAACAATAGTTATACCTTCAAATTACCAATTACCAACCTTTAGACTATTGCTTCACCAAGTAGACCTTTATCTTCAAATAGCCAACTAGACAATTGATGAACTAGACAATTGTTATCACAATTCAAATTGCTAAAGCAACTAGACAATTGCTATAACTTCAAATTACCAACTAAACAATAGTTATACCTTCAAATTACCAATTAGACAATTGCTACACCTTTATATGATCAACTAGACAGTTTCAAATTGCTAGACAATTGCTATAACTTCAAATTGCCAACTAGACAATAGTTATACTTCAAATTATCTTCAAATATATGATCCAACTAGACAATTGCTAAACCTTCACCAAGTCAAATTACTTCAACTAGACAATTTCTACATCTTCTTCCAACTTGATCAATTAGACAATAGTTACCAATTAGACAATAGTTACCATCACATTGCCAACTAGACAATTGCTAAAGCTTCAAATTATATCTAGACAATTGCTATAACTTCAAATTACCAACTAAACAATAGTTATACCTTCAAATTACCAACTAGACAATTGCTACACCTTTAATTGATGAACTAGACAATTGCTACATTTTCAAATTGTCAACTAGACAATTGCTATAACTTCAAATTGCCAACTAGAGAATAGTTATATCTTCAAATTATCAACTAGACAATTGCTACACCTTCAAAATATCAACTCAACAATTTCTACACCTTCCCAATACCAACTTGCAGTTTCCTTCAATTTATCAACGAGACAATTATACACCTTCAAAATGCTAGATAGATACTGTTTCACTTTCAGATTACTATCTATATATTTGGTGCACCGACAAGTCACAGTTCATTATTACCCCGGAAACCCAAGCTGCCTGTGAGGCGCTAGGAGGTTACAGTCACATGACTTATCCCATTGGTTATCCATTTTCTGCTGGGTGAACAGAGGCAATTTTGAACAAACTCATTTGCCCAAGGTGAGACCACATGTGTGCCATGTGCTTCGTTGAAACTCAAGGGAGTCAAGCTGCCAAACACGGTCACCCATCCAAGGACTCTCTGCGACCAACTTCATAACTTCCACTGATTTGTGATCTGAGGTCAGGACGACGCACCGCCACACTTTACATTATTACATTTACATTGTTTTAATAATGACAAAATTTTGAAAACATCCTATTTTGTTCTTATAAAAAATAGACTGGTATTGCAAGACTCACGGCCAACTCGGATGCAGAAGGACAGATCTGGTATTCCACTGGGCAGAATGTTCTTGAGGCGTTGATCCCGCTCGTCAAATACGTTCCCATCCGGAGCTATTCGCCCATACACGACCCAGAGACCACCAAAACGTAGGCACTCAACGTACAGGTTGCAGGCGTAGGGGTGGTTGTACGCACATTTTACGATGAAGCCCCTTTTCCCTTGACAGGCGTTCGCACAGCTTCCTGGAATTGAAATGAGTGAGTTAAGTTTTACGCCGCACGATGATAATGATGATGATGATGATGATGATGATGATGATGATGATGATGATGATGATGATGATGATGATGATGATTTGGTTGTACAATATATCATGAAGAGCGGATAAACTCTGTCAAAAAGAAACGCAACCCCTGTCCTCAGATATGAAAAATTCGTTTGAATGAAGTTATTGCTTCCAAACTAAATTTTATTCGAATGTATTGAAATGATACACGTAATTAATGAAGATTACCATCCAAACAACTGCATTTGTACGCATAAGTGTATTTTATTGCTTATTCCGTCACAACGCATGAAATGACCTCATGGTGACTTCGCACAAAAACACATGCAAATCATGAAAATGGCAGTTAATGTAGGGTGTATAAAAGCCCATGTGCTTCCGTATTATATTCATTCATTTGTCGCCGAAAAGCTGTGTTAAAATGCCACGATTGAGTGCTGCTGACCGAAATATCGCCATTGGTCGTGTTCGCCGGAGAAAGTTTTGAACTGTTGCACGGCACCTAAATGTTCACAAAACAACGATATCCCGACTTTGGAGCCGCTACAACAACTTCAATTTGACCAACGATCGCCCGAGAAGTGGAAGGCCAAGAATCACGACCCCTTCAAGATCGGTACATCCGGGTCCATCACCTGCGTAATCGGCATGCCCTACCAACCGTGACTGCCACACAAATACCAGGTTTGAGGAGAGTGTCAGCTCAAACGATTAGGAACCGTCTGAAAGAAGCGGGTTTACGTGCCTGTAGACCAGTTGTTGGACCTGTACTACGCCCCCTACATCGACGCCGACGACTCAGGTGGTGCAACAACGTAAGGATACGGACTTTACAAAACTGGAGGCGAATCTGGTTTTCTGATGAATCACGTTTTCTTTGCAACGTCACGACGGAAGACAGCGTCTGTATAGGAGACGTCATAACGTTTTGCGCCCATCTGCGTCCGACAGGTGGACAGATTTGGCGGAGAAAGCGTCATGGTTTGGGGAACCATCTCATACAACCAGAAATCAGACTTGGTGATCGTTCCAGGGAACCTGACAGCCCAACGTTACATCAACCACGTGTTAGAGCTTCACCTTCTCCCGATTATTGACCAACAGACACAGATTTTTCAACGGGACAACGCCCGGCCTCATACTGCACGTGCAACAATGAACTTTCTGCAGAATTCCAACGTCAATGTCTTGCCATGACCCTCTAAATCACCAGACCTCAACCCTATTGAACACCTGTGGATACTCTGGATCGACGCGTACGTCAACGTCAGCCGCCGCCACAGACGCTGCAACAGCTCGCCGTTGCACTGCAGGAGGAGTGGAGAGCCATTCCCCAGGAAAGAATCCGGCGTCTTATCCGTTCTTGTCCAAGGAGATGCCGTGCAGTGATTGCAGCGCGTGGTGCTCATACGAGATACTGAGAAAGACGCCCCCTGGTGACAAACTGGTGTCTGTGAGATGACTTTTGAAATGACAATTTTAAACATGCCCATCTGGGTTATTATTCTGCCAAATTTCAGACTTCTGTCTTAAATAATAAAAATGCCGTGTCGTCCTAAAACTTCAGATCAAAATCTCTAAAATACAGGGGTTGCGTTTCTTTTGACAGAGTTTAGCAAGCAGGATTCCTGCTGTGTGGCGTCGGCTACACGTAAATTTTTAAGCAATTTGTGAAAATGGTGCGCGCTTCCAGTCAGGAGGAATATGTATACCCTTTTAGCGAACACCTGTTGTCATGAGTGACTTTCAGTTGTCCATTCATTTAATTGTCACAGCTCTTTGCCCTTTTCATTCAACAGAATATGTTTCTGAGAATAGTCAAGATTGGGTATCTCTTGCACTGACGGCACACATTTGCAATTCTCATATGTCCGTCTCACGACACCAGACGTTCGGGAAAAGTGTTCCCAGCAATATAAAGCAGGCCTCCTGCCAAACGATGGCTCAAGTTTGGTTGGGCCTAGTGGTTAAAGCGTTCGTTCGCTCGTCACGCCGGGTTTGATTCCTCACATGGGTACAATTTGTGAAGCCCATTTCTGGTGTTCCCAGCCGTGATGTTGCTCGAACGCGGTTAAAAACTAAACTCACTCCCAATTACCAATATTACAGCATTAGCATGGCGGGGACACCACTGATGGGATTCACATTAAAGTTTGGTGTCTTGAACGTTTAACTTAATCCCACATGGCCGACACGTTTTTCTTTCCACAAACCATGATATCCACAATTAATCCAAATATAGAGATAAAAAAAAATTCCAGTGAATACATGCATGACGCTAAATAATACCTTAAAGCACATAATGATATATCTGAACCTTTTGAAACAAAAAAAAAGCCGCCCACAGTCTGTGAAATTCCGATCTTGTTGCAATATTTATTCAACATGCGATAATACGTAAGAATTGTTAGACTGATTATAATAGCATGAGTGGACGTTACAACGTTTGTCGCCATGAGTGGTACAAATAATATTTTAGAAAAATTGATTTTTTAAAATAAAAACACAACTTTAGTATATAACACCTACTTAATGTGAATAACCACCTTGGGACTTCTTTCGGGTGACTTATGTACACTTTGCCACGGATAACTACTTCTGTCATCCCGCAAAAAGTATCCAACTTTTCAGTCCAACTTTTAAATGCCAACCAAAACGTTTTCATAACAATGTTCATGTCTTTATGTTCTTCCTACTTGGATATTCAAGTAACTTAGATTGCTATCCAACGAAAATAATAGGTTCTGGGAAATGACATAATGTGATACAAGGCATTTCGCCCACTTACCTAGAAACTGCTCTCTGACAACTGGATCATTTTTGTCACCAAATCCAGGACGGAACACGGGAAAAACTGCCAACTGTGCTTGAATACACACAGCCCATGACACCACCAGAACTATTCCGAAAACACCCCTCATCCTTGAAACGAAGGCGGTCTCAGAACTGTGTTGCGTAACCTTCTATAACCCCTATCCTATAAGAACTGGTAGCAGAGGTCCACCAGTGGCTCTGATATAACTCCACAAAAACCTGGGGAAGAAAGAGAGTATCACCTGGTTGCGGTCCTTTTATAATAGAAACGAACCTGGAGGCTCTTGAACACTGTTGAAGGAGGTTCCAGCACGTGGTTATCAAGGTAAATTGTCAATAGCCACGTGGGTAGAGGACATCATCAAACAGGTGTCATTCCATCCCTTACTGTTTTAGTTAAGCATGACCTTAATCGTTAAATATTGACTGAAGGTGGTGATGAAATGTACCCTTCTCAGACACTCATCTCGCAAGACAACTTCCTTCTGAACACTGAACACCTTGAGTCAGTGTTAAATGCAGGCAATTGTACAAGAGGGTGGGTCAAGGCGTTGTATGGTTCAAATTACATGAGACAAAAGGTTGCACTTACATCACTAGCCCCATCCACAAATATGAGGATGATTGGTACAGGATGGGTAATCAGGTTTGTCTTGACGCACTGAGCTCATTATACTGTCAGCATGCGCTCAAGAAGAATCATTAAACCACTAGATAATGGGTATTATTTGAGAAGTTGTTAACGCAGGCTCGGTGTGTGTAGGCTGTACACATGTAGCTATTATCCGGTATTTCTTGACGTTTCCTTCCTAGAAACCACGTCATACAGCTCACCTGGCACATCTTGTGTAAAGGTATCCCAGCGTTACGCCAATCTTTCGCCCATGTTTGAATATGGGAGTTACGATCGGCGTTACGCTGAGATCGCTTTCTGCAGGTGGGCCCGGCACGGCCAGGTGAAGATCATGAAGATCATATTTTGAATTTTACACAGTTAGGTTTAATATTTTTGTACACTGATTTCTAATCTATGTGGTATGACTAGATAGACAGCAAATATATCTTCACACTATATCCTATGCTTCAGCAGTTCGTCAATACGTGAGAATCTTTCTATCTGATAATAAGGGAATAGTTGGCCTCAGAAGAAAGTTTGTTTATAAATCATACATCAAAAAGTAATTTGTTACAAAATGGGCTGTCGTCAACATTTTCCTTATAATATCTATGTACAAAAATTAAAATATTATAAATGAGCAGAATTGGCATTATGGCGTTATTCGACTATGTAATGTGCGTCTAATGTTTTATTATATCATGATGTATGAACATTTTAGTCTCTGTCACCATTTTCTGGGACCTGGGTCCGAATATCCGCATGGGTACACAGTGTAAAACCCTGTCCTTGTGTCCATGGTTTGAATGGCAATGCTGAAACCGATGTAACACCACGACCACTCCTCCGTGCAAGCAGGTCAGAAGGTGTGCCCGTATATAACTGAAATCTAAAAGAAACTAATTCTGATATAAAAATAGACTTATTTTTACAAAAGCTTAAAGTGTTATTCCAAAAGGTCACCAATGCGTTAGAAGGTTTTCTCGGCACACTTTGACTTTATTGTCATACTCTTGATCTATTCGGTCGTTAACATTTGTCATGAACACATTCGACCAGCCTCAGATGTACATCCTTGACTTGGGATTGTAACGAACTAGGTTATGGCTATCTATTGTACTCAAAAAAATTAAAAAAGCATAAGATAATAACAGCATCTCTGACACCCTGATACCTATGAATGAGAAAGAGGAAAAATAAAGAAATATAATGTTAAATTAAAACAAATATAATGTTATTAACAAATAATTTCAAAGAGAGTCATACTCATCGGTTATTTTGATAAAGATTACTACCCTCATGGCTCGGGGGTGTATTAAGCTTTCTGGTAGACATGTGGATGACATTTTTAAATGTTCCTGTATTGTTTCACAGGTGAACAGTTGACCTGCTTGTTGTATGTACCTATGATGGGTGTCACCCACTGGGCAGGACAGGGTCACCTTTTCGGAAGCACCTTGTGACGCTTATGATAAATTCGTTACTGTAGAATTTCCTTTGGCAGAGGTTTCTTATGGAAATGGTTTTGTTGCTCGTTTGAAAAACCACGACTGTTGTGGGGTTTGGATTTTGTTCTCGTCGGAATAATTATCTGTTTGTCTTCAGTGTCATGTTCCCAACTGGTTTACTTGTCCGTAGTTAACATTTGCGGTGAACAAACCATTGAGACCCCATACCTCTATGTATGTGTACATGTATCAAGACACACGATCCATGGTTAAAGTTCCCAGTTTACCTCATTAGGTGGTTGTATGTGTGTCATTTTTGTGTGTGATTTTTGTGTGACATCTCTTGATATGTGACCTGATCAACTCTTGTCCTTTTGTCAACGATACCTTATAAAGTACCAGCGTACTCAAGACTTGGATACCATAGGACTATTTTATAACAGGCTGCACATGGGGGAAACATGAACTTCAGAAAACGTGTACTTTTCCTGTATTCGCCCCATGTACCTGTGTTTCAAGAGACTAGTTGACATGCCTTTGCAAGTGTTTGTGACGGTTGCCGGCAGTAGGTCAGAATACACAGACCTTTTCGTGAACATACGTTATGAGTAATGGTGATTCATAAACACATGCTTCGTATACCGTCACGCAAAATTAATAGGTGCAAGAATGTGTGCCCTGGAATCGAAAATTGGATTTCTGTTTTTGTCAAAGCAATCCTTAGCGTAGTGCCTTTGGGGGAACAGATGCATGTTTCAAAGGCACCGTGACCCGACCTCGTCCTTAATCTTATGGTGCCTTGTTAGACAAGTTTAATTCAGGTGTATGAAGATATATCGGTCTTTTGTTTGTTTGTTATTTAACGCAGCACTCAGTGTTTCACCAATTCCGTAATACATCGAGTCTTGATGAAACAATCCAATGATTGACATCTTGAGCATCGATCAACGCAATGAACACACGATGCCACATATCAACTATCCCGTTAGTCGCCGCTTACGGCAAGGATGGGTCGCCGCTTACGGCAAGGGTGGGTTGCAGAAGACTAACACAGGCTATGCCAGCCTTCTACCCATGTTAAGTATATAACGATTGGGTAATGTTCCCAAAGGCAATCAGCCTCCGAGCAAGTTTTGGGTTGTTCGGACTCCCATGGATATTTCAATCTGAGGCTTTCGTGAACTGTCCCTTTACCCCAGGACGACATACACTCCATTCAATAACAAAACACAAGACGATGTTATGAGTGATTTATATGACAATTAATAAAATGTTACATGAATTCTAGAATGTGTGCATAATATCCGTATCTTCATCTGATATCGTCATCGTACTTGAACCCATCCTCGAGGGTAGGTCTGAGCGGCCCTATATACGCCACGAAACCTCCATGTGAAACATTCTAGGAGAGGTCTACGAGGTCAGCTGCAGTTGTTATAATCTTGGTTGTTTTGTCCCCGGCTCCATATTTTCATATACTTCCTCACATGAAAGGACCACAATACTTGGTAATCTCCAACTGCAACGAAAGATGAACCATTGAGTTATCATGTGATATTTTGTTGTTGTTGCCGAATACAATTGCCAATTAGCTGATTACTAAGCTGGAGGTAATACTACATGCGGCCTCAAATAACACTCACTCACAAGAAGTTTTAAAAATATTTAAATTTGTGAATTTTCCATCCATCGAATTTGAAACATTAAACTACCATTCACACATTAAGAAATGTATTTGGATCCTACACGCCAACATAAACGCTTCGCCTGCTATTACTGTGAACGGTGTTTGAACTGAACATGTTCGGGATTCAGTTTGTGTTCTAACAGCTGTGATTTTGTCCAAATGCAGAAAAGTCTTTTATTACTCCGTTGATGTCACACATGTCAAAGTGTTCTAGTGTCCATCAGCTTGGTCTAAGCATTATTATGTTAATGATGTACCAAGTTCCTAAACATACTGTTACAGTACACGAACTACATAATTCGCGTCAGTTAGCTTTAGCAACCCATGCTTGTTGTAAGAGGCGACCAACGGGATCAGGAAGTTAGGCTTGCTGACTTGGTTGACACATGTCATCGTATCCCAGTTGCGTAGATCGATGCTCATGCTGTTGATCACTGGATTGTCTGGTCCAGACACGATTATTTACAGACCGCCGCCATACAGCTGGACTGTTTCTGAGTGCAGCGTTAAACAAGAAACCAACATATTTCTGCGGATAAGTTCTTTCTTGTTTACACTCTGATCCCTGTAGTTATACAGGTTGCAATCCAGCAAAAGCTTTTTTCAAATTTTATATATGTTTTTAAAATATTATATCGTTTGTTATCATTATAGTATCTGCATATAGAACACATGAAAAAAACATATTCTTTTACCTATCTGTCTTGTCCATTCTAGGAACTACAATGATTAAAATTTTTTAATGTATTCACGTAAACTGTATGACAGTACATGTATGTTATCCAAAGAAACAGGTACAATCAAACATGCTGATCTGCAAATAATTCTGTATCGTCATGTCATTGTTGGTTAAGATTGCTAGAAGCTTACATCATCCATAAATCCAGTGAAATATCTCTTCCGGGTCCCAGCCCCGATACTCAGTGGGCACGAGTTCCCGACGGCATGCACACCTGAAATAGGCCGCAATAGTGTCTGTAGCAAATATACTGTTGGAACATAAAATTGGTTATAAACGAGGGTCAAGGTCAACAAGGAACATTTAACATAGAAGCACATTATGAGAACGAGAGACTACGAAATAGCAAAGAAAGAAACAAGAAACAGTTTAAGATCAGAATAGTTAAATCGTTCCTGTTTTGTGTGCAAGTGAATGTAGAATCAAGACGAGAATACGGTGTGTTGTTCAATTGAAGAGATTATGCTGTAATAACATAACATACAATCACCAAGTCCAGCTCCAATTTACAGGAAATATTAGTCTCTGTATTTACTAACGTAGCTTATAAGTTTCGATTACATTCGTAATGAGATACAAGGAGTAACATAGTTCCCAGTCACTATTTATTGTAAGGTATAGTCTGCACCATTTGGTTCTAATAGCTTTGTGTTAATGAATGATCCAGTAGTTACAGGAGCTCTGCAGAGTAGCATCCCCTGGCTATGCACGGATCCGA